TCACAGGATGCTGCATTCCCCCCCCAGCCGTCTTCCTGGTCAGCATTTGGAGAGGGACATGTGGAAATTAGCCCCAGCAGAAGGATGGGGTAGGCTCGTGGGAGGTGTTGTGCACCATAGGCTTGGCAGTCCTGAAGGGCAAACTGATTCACAACCCCAATGGATACTATTTGGTAGCCAGGCAGCCATTATTATTGTTATTATCATCGGGTATCTAATTCCAAGAGCATCTATTATTATTGTTACTGTCACTTCCATGCATCTAATCACAGTGGGCGCGGGCAGGGAGGTCAATTTCAGGGCCAAGAGGGAAATCCTCCCCCCACAGGGTGCATCAGCCAGAGGGGTCTGCATGATCTGCAGGGCCGTTGGCTCAGCTCGCCTGGCCAGGGCGGAAAGGTCACCTAGCCAATCGGTCCCATTAGACGGCAGCAAGGTCTGTGTGGCAGTCAACACTGCATGATACCTGCTTAATTGGGCGTGCACATTGTCTCTCTCTCTTGCGCACGTGTGTGCGTGCGCACACACACAAGTATCCAAGCTGCATCATAAATTCCACAGCCTCCAAAGAGGACCCGCTGACTTCAGAGTGACAAAGCTCAAGAACAGCTGGACTGGGCTGGGGCCAGCTGTTGGGTGCTCAACAGCTGTCTCAACAGCCGTGCGTCCATCCGGTGTCCATCCACCCCCACCTTGCTCCCTTTTCTGCCACCCCCCCTCAAGATGGTGATGATGAGATGATGTGCTGCTGCTGCTGCACGTAACATCTTGCTGGGGGGGAGTGGCGACAGCTGCTGCTGCTGCTGCTTCCCAGGAACAGAGAGATGCAAAGCCACCTCCCTGTATGAGGATGACCTCCCTACTTGGAATCAGCAATGGAGGGAGGGAGGTGGAAAAGCTGGTGTGGAGGGGGGCTTCCTGTGGACCAGAAGCTCAGAATCTGGGGGTGTGTGAAAGAAGTAGAGCTTCACTCCCTCCCCCATTCAAGGGGGACTCTGTACCCTTCGCTCCCCACGCACAGATGAGCCTTGCAGGACTCAACAGAGGGTGCTGAGTGGGGAGTTCCGGGTTCCCCAGCTAGAGCTGCTGGGCAGCCTTGGTTCAACGACCATGGCAGGTGGAGGGGCCATTGTTCCGGCCCACGGGCCGAAGGGGACCCCCTCCCTCCCTCTCCTCTCCCCTCTCTTTCTGCGCAGGCCTGCATCCCCACCCGACCCCCCGAGCCGGCTACCTCCGCTCCCCCTCCTGGACAAGGACGAAAGCCGAACCAGGGCACGAGAAGAAGCACCTCAGCGATTCCGAGCTCCAAGCGGACGCTTTCCTGGCTGCAGAAAAGCCAAAGGACGAGTGACTGGGGGCTGGAGCCCCACCAAGGGGCCAACATTCACTCTTGCCCGGTCCGTCGTTTGGAACCTTGAGGGATTTCTCCTACGCAGCCGGGATGTTTGCAAACCGCACCTTGTGCCAAGTGCCACTCCCTTGCTCCTTGCCCACCACTTAATTTGCCAGTCTCCTTTTACAACCCCCGGCAGACACCCTGCCAGGCCTTCCCATTTCCTGCAGGCAATTTGAACCCTCCGCTGCTCCCTTTGGTTGGAGGAGGTAGACTGGGACGGGGGCACTCCCCCAACCTCGCTGGGGAGCTGGTGGAAAAGCTGCTTGTGCCCTGAAGGAGAGGTGGCCTCCTCTTCAGCCATGTGCCTTGAGTGCTGCTGGGGCGAGCCAGGGAGCTCCTCTGCCAAGACGAGGTACCCATTATACCAAAGGAACCAAGGGGCAAACAGCACCATTTCTGGGGCACTTCCAGGGACTGAAGCAAAGTGTGAATTCCTGGGCACCCTTAGGTACTGTGGCTCTGCTGGGCGAGAACGTCCCAGCCTCACTTGTAAGCACATGCTGTTCCCTATGGCCTTAAGTCTTGCCCACTGGTCCCAAAGTGCCCAGCACCAACGCAGCTGGCACCAACTCCAGCCAGGCTCTGGGATATCCCACTGGAGCGAATCCTCACCCGTGTCATGGCAGTGCGCCTTCCTCGGCAGAAAAACTGGTCTTGAGAAGAGGCCGGTCCGTGGCGTGGTTGGCAAGGCGTGGGGGCCCAGACTGCTGCTGCAGCTGCTCACCAACCTCCCTGGAGCTGGACAGGACCAAGCCAAGGAAGGCAACACGATGGGCGGTAAAGCCAAATCCAGGTGCTTCCGGAACCCCCACCTGTGAAACAGACCTTTTGGAGGAAAGGCGAGCATGGCTCAGGCTGCTGGTGGAGAGCAGAGGCCTTTCCTGTGGATAAAAGCTCAAGTATCACCCCTGTTGGGGGGGGGCCCGGGAGCCGTCCAAGCGAGAGTTCCCCCCCGAGTTTGCCTTTCCCCTTCCGGTCCTCGGACATCCAAGACATCACCTACTTCAGAGTTCATCAGGTCCGAGTTCTTGCCCCCCCCACCATGTCCTCACCACACAGCTTCATCTTCTCTGTAAGCGGGGTGGGTGGGCTGGGGGGACGCCGGAAGGGCAGGCTGTGTGCACAGCGTCCCTCCCCACCCCCTGGAGGCACCCGGAGCCCATTTTGCCTGCCTGACTCAGGACGGAACAGCCGTTTGCCTTCCCCAATTCGCGTCCTTTAAAATATTTTGCCTAGTTCGGCCGGGAAAAGACTATACAATCTGATCTTGGTTAAACCCAGCCTATCAGGGAGCTCAGTTTTATGAGGGGGTAGCTGTTCTCGGGGACCTTCAGCGGGGGGGCTGGTGCATAGTGCTGGCTCTGCCCCCACCCCCGCTGTGCTCCTGCAGCCCCTGCCCAGCCTTCCCCGGACCAGGAGAGGTCACCCTGGCCTTGCTCATTCAGCCAGCCCTTGGCCCGCAGCCCCTCGTCTTCAGCGGCGGCCGGCCTAAGAGAATGAGCCCCGAGCAGAGCAGCAAAGCCAGGCTGGTCTCCTTCCTCTGGCTTTCCAAGATGCTGGGCCCTGGACTCCCCCTTGGAGGCTTCCGCTGCAGCTGGGCCGGGCAGCCTTGGAGCACCCTGCGAGAAGGAAGGCTTGGCCGCCCAGCCGCCCAAGGGAAAAGCACCTCTTCACTACAGCGCAACCGGGGGCGGGAGAACGGAGGGCCTCGGAGGACGCCGCAGGAGCTCTGACCGAAGGGGGCTCAGCCGCAGCCACCTCCCCAAATCCAGCCATTTGGCTCACGGCCCTCAAGAATCGCGTCTTCCCAGGGCCCAAAGCCTTGTGAAGTCCGAGTTGCTCCAAGGCGAGTGCCAGGGTAAGGGGGTGGGGGCTGGGGGTGGGCTGCCTCCTCCGGCGGCCAGCTGGCGTTCGGCACCCGAAGCTGCCAGAGGCTAGAAAGGTCATCGCGGTGCCGCTGAGCGGCCTGCGACGCTTCCCTCTGCTTTTCCTTGTGGCGGCTGCTCCGCAGGGCCAGGAAGCGGGCTCTGCAGATGGCACCTTCGGTTTCCAGGGTCCAGTCGCTTGGCTTGGAGGCTCCCCTCTGGCTTGCTCGAAGAGCAGTTCCCGAGGCCGCCCAGGCTCAGGCCAACTCGGAGACAAGATGCCAGGAAGCCAGGTTGGCTCTGGGCTCTGAATTCACTTGGTCCTGCTTTTCTGCACGCCACAAAGATAAAAACTCCCTGGGCCGATAGCAAGAACAGCCTACTGCTCTCTCGTCTCCCTTCGGGCCACGCAGAGGGACCAAAGCAGGCTTTTTCAACGCAAACACTGTGAGGGGGGCCCACCCCCAGGCAACACGGGCCAGGGACTCTGTATTGAAGACAAACCATCTGGTTAGGCATCCAGGCAGGATTCAGCTTGGCACGAAAGGGCCAAGCTGGTCTTTCAGCAGATATCACGAGGAAGGGATCAGGAAATAACAAGCCCCCCATTCCCTGCTTGCTTCCTCACGATCAGTTCTCATCCTCTGGGCTGGGCTAAGCGGCCGGAGAGACAGGGCGGAGCTGGATTGCTGGGCAGAGGCCTGGTCAGCAGCCCTCGAAACCCACAGCCCAGGCCCAGCGCATCCCGCGTGAGTCCAGGGGTGGAGCAGCACAACAGCTCTCACTGTCCTTACGGGCTCTGGCTGAATCCTGGCAACCTCCTGTGTCAGGGAGGCACCCCAGTCTACATTCCAGGCTGCGTGTTGGGGGTCACAGCGCAGATGCACCGAGTGCCAATTGGTAGCTTTTCCTCAGCTAGACAGTGTCAGCCGCTCATGCAGCAATGAAGCGACCCCTTTACAAGATGGCAAGGTTGCCTGCTCCCGATTACGTGCAGCCGAACCATTAAAGAAAGACAATGACTGTCTGCTTCGTTATTAGGGCACCAAGGAAGCCAGCCCACACACATAAGGAGTGTGTTTGCATCCTGAACACCGAGGAGCATGTTTGCATTCTGAACACCAAGGAGCACCTTCCTGGGTCCCACAATCAAGGAAACACCGGCTGAGCTCAGAGAAGGAAGCCAAGATCTGGTTAAGAGTGCACAACTCCCGCTTTCTGCAAAGCAAGATCCATCTGGGATCTCAACAAAACTCCGCCCAACCAGGTCTGACATTCATTCCTCCTCCTTACTTGGAACACTCCATCTTTGTGTGTGTCCCTTCCACGCTCTGCATTCCTCCTATTTTACCCCCCACCCCCTTGGATTAAATTCTGTCCACGCTTATACAGCGCCCCTCTGCTACCTCCGACGTTCTGGTGATTAAAGTTGTTTCAAATGGTGTCTGTAAGGGTTTCCTCCTCCGGATTCTTTTCAGAAGGATTTCTTTTGGCGCATAATTGAATACGCCCTTTTCAAATGAGGCTACAGTTGGGCAGGGCTGAACAGAAGAGTGTCTGCAAACACTGAGAAAGAAAGCCACAGCAGGGAAGCATCTGGTGCAACTTATCAAGGTGACCTTTGCTAACTTCGAAGGTAGATAGAACCATGCAAGTCAGGAAAATGACCTGACTTGGTTTAAGCCGGCGTCTTCTGCTGTGTGCTAGCACCCAGGCATCGCAGGCAGAAAGCTTGTTTGTGTGTGTGTGTGGGGGGGGGACCTCTGCATTTCTCCAGGCACAGCATTTGGGGAAACAAGGCTGGGAAAAAGGCATCTAGGCTTAAGGGTCGTCAGTCCGGATGGCAGACCCTCCCTTCTGTGGCTTGGAGATAATTAGACAGGAAGTGACAAGGTGGCGGCGGCACAGGAAACGGCAGGGGACCAGCTGTCCCCCACCTGGGCATGAAACAGACTGCCAGCAGTCAGACAGGCTGGGAGGACCCTGCCTTTGCAGGATACCTGATCAGTGGAGCCTCCATGGAAATTGCTAGCCATAGATCCAGGCAATCTCCTGGCTGGCCTCGTCAAGCCAAGGGCAGAATTCAGCCTGACATCCTGACCACTCCCTGCAGGAGCTTGGCTAGACCAAAATATATGCCAGCCGGAACGGATGCAGCCCCTGAGACTAGGCTCCTCCTGCGGAGAAGGCTCCCTGCGGGACTGCAGACGCCGCCTTATGACTCGGAATCACCGGGGGCCTGTGCCGACAACCAGCAGCTGAAGAGCCCCTTTAACAAAAAAACCCACGCTCTATTCAGCTGCCACTGAGCGGGGCCGGTTCCTCACAACTGCTCTTGGTTCCACCTCCTCCTTTTGCTGCAGAGAGACAGCCACATGGGCGGCTCAGGGGGGCAGTGCCACTGGCTGATGGGTGGTGGAAGGCAGGTGAAAATGGCGGGCGAACACTGAATCCCCAAGGCAGAAGCAGCAACCACGGCCGCTCCTTTCCTTACCTCCCGAGGACACTGACTCTGCAAGCTGCTCACGGCCACGGCCCACGGCTCACGTCTGTCGGGGGCTGGGGGTCCTGCTTGTCTCTGTGGCAAGCAAACGCCCCAGTCCGCCCCTTCCCCCCATTCCCCAAGGGGGCTGAGGGAGCCGCTGACATTTCCTGGAGCCCTGCACCTGGTCCCTTGGTGAGAGGGCCCGAGAGCCATCCAGACAGCAAGGGAGCTCTCCAACCCTGGGCTCGTGTGGAGAGCAAGGCACAGATGGCTTTTGGAGCATCTGCAATGCCAGAAGGTGGTCCGTGGAGAAACAAGCCGTAGCCCAGAGGGATGGAGCATCCTCCTTGGTTGTCCTTGTTCCTCTTGGAGGCTTTCTGCGGGCGCTCCCCTTCCTGCTCCAGGTTCCGGTTCTCCAGCCCCTCAAGATGGGAAGTGTCTTCAGTTAAGCCACCTGTCCCTTCAGCAGGTTCCACATATGTGGATTTCTCTGCAAAAGGTCTTGGCCCCAGCAGCCCCACCAAGTCTGCCTTCTCCAAGACCACCTTCTTCAGAAGATGCTTTCCAACCTGCAGGGGGGAGAATAAAGCAGTCCCAGGATTGGTTCAGAGACCACCCTTTCACACTTCAGTGCAAAGGAGTTTACCAGTTCTGACCTAGAATTATGGTTTGGAGCAGGCATTGGGATTCTCCACTAGAAATCCCCACATATTTGTGTGTCTTCTCGGGGTCTTGCTGAGAAAGATTCTTGGTCCCTCCTTGGGTAGAGACAGTCCCTTCAGGTTCAGGGGTGTCTTCAGTCACAGGGCTGGACACTGGGAGTCGGGGGGACACTGCAGGGCCTGGTACAAGTTGAGGTGACCCCTCTCCCCAAATCTTGCAGCACAGCATCTCCCAAACCTCTTCCTTTGGAGCCCTCCGTCATCTCCACCGACTGATCTTTCTCCAATCCCTCTGGCCTCCAAAGTGGCCTCCAAGGATTTCTCCCCCTTCTGCTCGACACCCTCTCTGCCAGCTGAGAGCCTCCTCTACCTCTCCAGCTGCAGCTGGGCATCTTCCAGGGCAAGAGCAGCTGGACCCTGCTCAAGACAGCCAGGTGTTGCAGGTCCTCGTGTGGAACAATCATTGTAGCACCTGCAATGCAACTGGGCACAGCGGCTTGTGGGTGCAACAGGGCTGCAGATAGTAACTACGCAAACCGTGGCCTCTCCAGGAAGAAAACGTGCAACTAAATGCAAACCTTTCAAGCCTGGCTGTCTTGTTCCCTTTTCCCCATTAACCTCCTCAGTTAAATTCTCCTAAGAGAAAAGGCAGGGTGATTGGGCCCAATCCGAAGTGCAGGAGACTTAAGTTGGAAGCTTCCATCCTGCCTCTGTGTCTTTTTCACCTACCCACAGCTTTGTCTCAGCAGCTCCAAGGTCTTTTGGTAGGCAGCATTTATCAGGGTGCAGATCTCTAGGCTGTGGCTTCACTGTATGGTTTCTCAGGAGTCAAGTCTCCACCCACCAACCCCGCCATGAAAGGTTAAAGGAGGCAGCAGTGGTGATGTGGCCAAAAAGCAACTGCTCGGCCACACAGCCCCCCAGCATCATGCATGTGTGGCCCAAGAGCTGCTCCCGGGTACAGAGAAATTGTTCCTGGGGCAGATCCTGGGCATAGGTTAGGCCCTCTCCCTGTGGGATGATTGAGACCTGCCAGAGAGACAAACACGCACATACACATCCCAGGTGAACAGAATGGCCACTCTTCTGAGCCAACTGGAAGAACAACCAGGTTGGGGTAGACCCTAAGGTGCTGGACAGATTAGCGGGGCTCAGGTTCAAGTCTACTGACTGCCCCAGGAACTCACTGGTGACTCTGAGCTAGTCGCTACTTCTCAATCCAAGCTACTCCACAGGGATGTTGTCACAAGGAAAAGCTGCTTTTCAGGCTGCCTAGAACCCAGGGGGAAAAGGCAGGACATAACTCTAACCAATGGAAAAATAAACAATGTTTCCGCATCCCGCTGGCGAAGGCAGACAAATATGGACTGCATTCTCCCCTAGGCAAACAAAAGACCATCTCAGGAGGGCCAAAACTGAATACAGAGATACTTAGTCCCAGAAGAGCAAATCCCCCTCAGTTTCCCACAACTTTTACATCCTTTAGCAAGCATAGAAACAGAAATGCTGTAGATCAAGTGCCATCGAGAGCTGGAAGGAGAGCACAAAATTTTATTTCTGAGTGCAGTCTTTCTTTTGGATCCAGCCCAACCTTTGCTCTTATCTTTAAAAAAGCCCCACTGGGCAAGAGGGCTTCCCTTCCTGCGCCTCCTCTGGCCCCAGCCTTGTCTTCCTACAGCTGCAGGTAAAGTCAGGCCACACATGGCTTGCGGAGGGTCCCCTCTGCTCCTCACCATCCTGAACTTTGGGTGAGCAATGGTGGTTCTTGCCCCCCTCCTGTGAAAACCAAGATCCAGATCTGTTTCCACATTCAGACCAGGGGAATTTAGGCTGGAGACGCAGGAGGCTCCAGGGATGACAACGTACAGCCCCACCCGCCCCTTCTGAACACACAGAAGATGAAGGTAAGCAAGGAGCTGTCCAGCTGGGCCCACCCATTCCCTGCAGGGCCATCACCACCAACTGCCCCAGAAAAAGGGTCACTTAAATAATATGTATTCTGTTTTTATTGATCATGGTTTATCTTGCTCATAAGCCATTTTGGGAAATTCTTAACCTGAAAAAGTAAAGAAGGTTGGGTTAACTAAAATATAGGAAATAAGCTGCTTTGGGACCTCTTCCCATCTCCCCTCCTCTCTGGGATGGCTGGAAACCCAGAAGTAGAGATGCACCTTGAGCAAAGAGTCTGCCTATTCTAGGAACCTCCCAACCACAGTGTGCCCAGCTTCACGGTAGGCCACAAGGGTCGCTGGGCTGCAGAGTGTGAGTCCTCTTCTCGAGCCCCAGGGACAGAACAGAGACAGGCAAAGCGAGGGCCTCTGAAGAAACACCTCCCTCGGCTCTGCCAGGTGGGGGAGGCCCTCAGTAGCTGCTGGGACAAACGACGCCTACTCTTCACGACTCCAAAGACACAATATGCTAAGCAATACCATCGCTCGTTTGAAATCATGCGTTATAATTTAGCACGCTTGCGAACCCAACTAAATTGTGGTTTGCTTAGTATGTGTCACCCCGGTCTCGCTAACGTTAAGCTACATTCATGATAAAGTGGCTCTCTGAAACTCCGTTCTCTAATTGGGCAACCGAAAACACTCTTTGGAAAGCAACAGAGTCGGCATTTCCACTCCCAAAAGGCAGAGGCATTTGATAACAGGACAAAAAGTCAGTGAACTTTTCAGCTTCCCTTGGGGAAAAGGGCTGTTTTTTCCTGTTTCCTATCACTAACCTTTTTCAAAGCAGACCTTCTGCAGCTCTGGAGCATTCGCTGTTCCTTGGGCTCCTGTGGGGACTGTTTTCTCTTGGGGGCAAAGTCACATGGCACAGGAAGCAGCTCATCCCTCGGAACCTGCCAGCACTTGGCTCCGCTCAGCAAGGGGAAAGCAGGGTGTGTGCAGAGGATGTCCCTTGCCAGGAACAGCTGCAGGTAAAGTCAGGCCATCACGTTTTTCTTTGCAGAGCAATGAGAACGTACAAGGAGCTCTTGCTGGCTCAGCCAAAGGGACAGCTGGGCCCAACCCTTGCTTCTCCTGTACCAGCCAGGGGCCTTGGAAGGCCACGAGCAAGACAGGTCTCCAGCAGTGCAGACCTGCCTACTTACCGTAAGAGAAAAGCAACAGACGCACACTCAGTGATCCCCCCCCCCGCTAAATAAATCTGCAGGAAACCACAGTAACTAGGAGGCTTCACTTCCAAGTACCAAAATCAGGCCTTCAGGGCTCCTAGGGGCTGTCCTAAAAGACAGGCAGGCAGGCAGGCAGGCAGAGGGGCTCACCCCCAATGACCTTCTCAATCGTTCACCATGGGGCTGGCGTATCGTGCAGCCCTCAAGGCAGCCTCGCTGCCAGACCTGGCACTATCTGCACCTGCAGGGACAAAGCAAGCATGCGGTCAGGGTCTCAGGCCACAGAGCCCCCAAACCCATAAAGTGGTTCAGCTGGTCATTCAGCCATGGTTTACTGCTTAGCATTACGCATCAGCCATGCCATCACGGCTAACACCACAAGCCATCTGGCACTGGGCATGGGGTCGCAGCTGCGATCTGGCGTTTATTCCGAAGGAGAAAGTGATTCCCAATTAATCTAAAGGTCCCCCACGGGGGAACCACAAGAAAAGAAGGGGAACGAGCCGGTGAACCGGGCCGGGCCCCCCAGGCCTTCTGCTGTTTCCAGGCCAGCCTGGCACTCGCCCATCCCACTCTCTGGGGCGGACGCCGGAACCGGTGGAGGAGGCCAGTCCCGTCTCCGGCCGAGCAGCCCCCGCGTTTCTTCGAAGACATCCGCTCCCGGCGCCGAACCAGAG